TTAAAATTGATCAAGGTCTGCATGATTTTGAAGTCATGCAGACCTTGAAATCATGCATGATTTTGAAATCATGCTACGGTCCTGCGTTTTCTTTCATTCATGTTTTCACACAAAAACGGATAAAAACGAAGTCAATTGACGAACGTCACGGAAATGTTTTCCTATGGACTATGTGAACAGAGCGTCAAATGTTATAGATGACGAGATACTTGATAGATTCTGGACCTTTTTACCATTCTTGATCGACATATTTCCAAATTCAATAAAATCATATTGGTGATTTTTTCACTGATTATTTTTATGACCCACTCCATTTATACCAAAACTATAGAAAGACGCACCCCTTTGAAGCATGTCAAAATTGGCTGACCCACCCCCAAATTCCTCCGGCCCACCCCCCAGCTAAAAAATGAATGCTCCCTAAATCAGTTGAGTTAGGTAAAGTAGCGCCAGGGAAAACTGATTAAGAATTTTGGATATCTCTTTCTATGTAACTGAATTTAGATGGGGTATTTGTAGTAGATAGAATTTTCGCCCAATGATTTATATAAAATTTCAGGCCTAACCGCGAGCAGTGGCGAAAAAAGCAACTGTAGGCCCTCCTGCCCTGTGATTCCAGTGCAGCGCTCTAACATCTGAACTGCCGAGTTCATTCCCAAAAAGAAAAGCCCGCCCCCTCCCCCGTCGCTTCCCCAACATTTAGTGATAATGCGACGATTGCTGCACGTCGATTCTTGCCAGAGGACGTAAGTTGCATCTTTTGCAGGTGCTCCCAGAATGGGCGGTGAAACGCCAGTGAAAGCTTTGAAACGTGTGTGATGCGCGGACCCCCCACGTTGTTCGAAAGGGATTTCATTGCATTTTCGTTTTTCAAGATGGCGGGCGCTGCTTGAGCGAGGAAGAATTGGAAATTGCCATCAGTTTAAATGGCAGTTTTGTAGCGGTTTTCTCGTCATGTCCACGTACTATATTAAAGCACGATTTCAACTTTGCCACGAAGTATGAATTAGTGAATTTTGCATTTCGGCATTAGCTGTGGTATTAAATATGTTTTTACTCCAAAACATATATACTTTTTGTTATATTAATAGTATATTTGGACAATTCTAAGTTACTAAATGATATGGTTTGTTTACTTTATGGTTTGTTTAGTTTTGTTGTACATTTGTGTATTCAGATCAGTTTTGTGTATTGTTTCGTATATTCATAAGTTTATTTTTCCGCCTTTCGTTTTTTGTTTACTCGTCCCATTCCCCTGAGCACTTTCCATTTTAGTTTTTGGGTTGTGGACTTCGAGCGAAAATTGTGCAAAAGGGTCAAAAAGTTGTGTTACCGTACTCAGGTCAAATGGATCCTATTAGTTAGGGCAGTCATTGTGCAATTTTTCCAGCTTATTGGGCCACAGCAAGCATCTCAATTTTTTATTGGGAAAATTTCATGTTGAAAATTTCGAAGCCGCCATAGCGACGCAGCCAAGTGTTGCTGCCAACATTTTCTTGTTTTATCACTCGCATATTGTCTAAATATATACACATCAAGGAAAACATATATCTTGTCTTTCAGATAGGCACATAAAGTGAACAAAAAATATGATTTCAAGGTTTTTACATAGGTATTTTTAGACCTCGTAGTTGCGAAAGCAGTTGTGTTGTAAAAAAAATTGAATAGGTTAAATTCTATAAACGATTGCAAAAAAGGGTAAAAAAACTACACGAGCCCTCTCTGTGCGACGACGGGCTCTGGCCAAATCCATAACCGGATACCATAAAAACATGGTAAGAAAACAATATCCGGTGTTAGAACTAGCCAATCAGATGCCAGTTCGGATATGGATTTGGCCAGAGCCCCTCGTCACACTGCGCGTAAGAAGGGCTCTGGGTACGAGAATGCGAGAACTCCTTGTTGTGCACGCAAGGCCCCAGGCCTAAAGTGGGTCACACATGTTTCAACTGCTTCACTGGCGTTTCACCGCCCATTCTTATAGACGCCCTGCTCCCAGTTAGGGCTAAAATTGTTATAAATCTTCGTTCGAAAATTCCATCCGGGCAAAACAAATTTGTAGTAAAGTTACCACCATGAAGTAAAGGGCCCTTCGATAAGGATCGTGATAAAATAGAATTGTGTAATATATGTAGGTGTAATACTGATAGCAAACACTGCAGGAAAATTAAAATAAACTACGTGACTGACCAAGTAGTAACTATATTCGAAATATATTTTAAGTTAACTACACGGATAACAAAACTAAAAAACGTGACTGAAAAAGTAAATCGTTAAATATGGTGCAAGGTATACATGCATGGTCACTTATACTTTAACCTGTAATTATTTCTCGTTTACATATTAGTGCAGATGTTGTATAATTATAATACTGATACAATGTAGCTTGGTAGTTTATACTTAGGCCATTCAGATTTGGACCATTTGGTAATATGGTACTGTTGAACTTTCATTTACTCTTGAGGAGGTGGTACTTCTTCAATCACAATACGAGACATGGAACCCCAACCAGTCCGACCACTTCCAAGTCTATGACCACTCGGACACTTGCCAATCCAAAATCCCACACGTACATGACCTTTAGGAACCAGGTTACAGTAGCCTTCAATATGGCGGTGACGATGGGGATCGAGTTGGGTCGAACGGACGTAAACAACTCCTTCAATAGTCGCTGGTTTTGCGCATTCTGCACCATCAAATGTGAAATACCATCGATTGCAAACACCAGTGCCACGAGAACGCAGGGTTCCTTCGTAAAACACACGGAGTGAACTGTTGTCGTAATTCTTGTTGAAAACACAGCTCTATGTATAGTCAAAGAAAGACAACAATTAGATGTAATTCATCCAAGTACATACAGTTTCATGCGCACACCGTAGCTATCTTCAGTATATACACCTGTGCTAATTATAATCATATCTGCATGTAGCATCAATAATTATTCAAATAAATTCCTTGCGCCGTCTGGTGGTTTACCTTGAATTCACCAATGATATGGTAATTTAACTTTAATTTATTAACAGCTCAAATAGATTTCACTACGACTTCAACAGACACTAGTATAAACAGTGCATTATAGTAACCTTTAAAAACTCATTCATAATTCATGAGGAAAAGACAAAGGAAACCACTAAACCGTGGCGCTGGTTTTCTTTGTGATAAAAATCATGTTAATTTACATTATTATTATTATTATTATTATTATTTTATTATTATTATTATTATTATTATTATTATTATTATTATTATTATTATTATTATTATTATTATTATTATTATTATTATTATTATTATTATTATTATTATTATTATTACTAATCCACAAGAAAGGCAACAATAATGATCCTTCAAATTTCCGCCCCATAACACTCGAATCCATACCTTTAAAAGTATTTACATCTTGTCTCCGAAACGCAGTATACTGCTTCCTCGCATCTAATAACTTCGTCGAACACAACATACAAAAAGGCTTCACCCCCAACCTATCTGGCACTCTAGAACATACTGCACAAATGGCTGATATTATTAATAAAGCTCGGATCAGACAACGCTCTGTTGTCATCACCCTACTTGATCTTAAGAATGCCTTCGGCGAAATCCATCACAACCTCATTCAATCCGTACTTGACTACCACCATATCCCTGATCATATAAAATTTGTTATAAAAAGTTTATATACTGATTTCCAAACCTCGATAATTACCTCTAAATTCCGCACTCCTTTTATGACAGTTGGCCGTGGCGTATTGCAAGGAGATTGCCTCAGTCCTCTTCTTTTTAACATGTGCTTCAATACATTCATTCAGCATATCAAGGCTGAAAAGTACCGTCAATTTGGGTTTTTCTTCAAATTACTAAATCCCATCCATTGGTTCCAGTTTGCTGATGACGCGGCTGTAATTACTGGCCAAGAATCCGAAAACCAACATCTATTAAATCGATTTTCTTTCTGGTGCCAATGGTCCGATATGATTATCCGAGTTGACAAATGCAGTACCTTTGGCATTAAAAAAGCGATCACAAAATCAGTTCAGTACTTGCCAAAACTCCTCATCAGCAATCAACTAATACCAAAAATCACCATTGGAGAATCATTTCAATATTTAGGACGTTACTTTGATTTCCACATGTCGAATGATAATCACAAAACTGAACTAACCACCCTACTTAACGAACTAATGTCTGATATTGACTCAAAGCCACTACACCCCAAAAATAAACTGCTCCTCTACAGTCGCTACGTCTTGTCCAAGTTAGCCTGGCACTTCACCGTCGCAACACTCTCTAAAACATGGGTTACTGAAAATATCGACTCTATTGCCAACAAATATATCCGCAGATTGCTTGAAGTACCAATATCAGGAACACTAAGTACTGTCTTTCTAACAAATAACAAATTTGGCCTGAGTATTTATCCTCCATCTGTAAAATTTATCCAGTGTCAAACAGTCCTCCGAAAAGCTTTAAAATCTTCTCCTAATGAATCAACTAACGACCTGTGGAGAGCAACCAGTAACCATACTAATATCCAATATGACGCTTATAACTCTTCTAAGGAAGTTCTCAAAGATTTCCGTTCTGGACACGAAAACAAACTCCTAAACCAATTAACCAGTCAAGGATCCTTTTTCTGTAGCGTCACGAAGTTCGCTTTACCTCAACTTAACAAGGTTTGGTCCATCGCCCAATCAAAGCTCCCGAAAAACATTTACAACTTTACCATTCGTTACATTAACAACTCTCTTCCGACGCGCAAAAACCTAAACAGATGGGCAATATCTTCAAATTCAGACTGTTCTTTTTGTCTTAGTCCTGAAACATTACTACACATAGTAGCTGGATGTCAGTTTTATCTCGACCGATTTACGTGGAGACACAATTCAGTCCTGAACTTTCTTGCTCATCAGTTACAAACTGTTGACGGTTCTACTCTCTACGCTGATCTAAATGGATTCAAAAGCCATTCAATACTTACTGGTGATACGTATCGCCCAGATTTGTTATTATCGTGCTCAAATGGTTCCTTATATGTGGTTGAACTCACCACTGGTTATGAGACAAACCTCAAAAACAATGTAAAACGGAAGAAGGATAAATATAGAGAACTATTGAGACAGCTAGGTAAAAATTTTAACCAAGTTAAATTTATAAATCTCTCCATCAGCTCTTTAGGTATTTTTGCAGAAGAATGTTATACATTTTTAGACATGTTAGATAGTATTGGTCTTGACAAAAACCACCAAATGTACTGCGTTAGGAAAATGATGACTATTGCTATTAGAACTACATATTACATTTTCTGTTGCCGAAATAAGGAATGGGAAAATCCGGATTTACTAACAATTTGACTTATCTCATTGTATATATATATATATATGCATGCACTTTGTTCTGTTATTTTAGTTTAGTATAATTGTGATTCAAATAGCCAACCGTAAGTTACCTTTATGAGAGAGATTTACGATTGTATAAGTATGTAAAGAAAAACATTTAATAAAGTTTCCATTATTATTATTATTATGATACTTTATTTGATATGCTCCATGATCTGAAGTACGACGAACAACGTATTAAATATGTAAAAAAGAAAATAATTGCTACTTGTATTCGCACGTCTTATTATATATTCTGTAGACGAAACAAAGACTGGAACAACCCAACACTTTTAAACTTTTAATTAACTAAATTTAAAAGATTTTCACCTGTATACAGTGATAAGTGGACATCGATAAGCTACCTTTTAGTAAGTGAGGTTTATCAATGTATATATAGTATATCGTAAATATCTAATAAAAAGTTTCCATTATTATTATTATCATTATTATTATTATTGTTATTATTATTATTATTGTTATTATTATTATTATTATTATTATACTAAATGATTAGGAGTAAAGCAGTTTTTTTAAATTGACAACGCTTTGTGATAGCTATGTTGTTTGCCAAAATTACCGCAATATCAACTCAATCTGTAGCATTAAATATGGGAGATTCACATCTTATTGCTACGTGTAAGTTGTTCTATTTCTTGGGTCAACTTCATGTAAATTTGACGCAATCGCTTGGTAAAATAACGCATACCTCTGCGTAATTTCAGTGGGTAAAATGTTGATGTTTTAACCATGAAATTCCTGCCCATGGGCCTAAAGAACTGCAAGAAGAACGATCTTTTAAGATTGTCGTCCATGTTTGGTTTCGGCAAGAAGCTTAGGATTTAGGCTTTATTTCAATGCGGTTTGCACAGGAATAGTTACGTATAACTTTGAAGTCGTTTTTAGGTCGTTAAAAGACCGACGCCTCCTAATTAATTTATATATTCCCAAAAATTGATTAAAAGAAGCGAAATCTTATTTCTTCAGTTAAATTAAAGCATGCTTAGGTATCAATAAGTTTTCATTCGCAAAACTGCTGAATTATATTGCAGGCCCATGTCTTCAACTTCTGGCCAGGCGATTCAATAATATTAATTGTTTATCTAAAGTTTATCACCAATAGAACAATGCATATTTGCCTTCCTTCATCATATTATCATCATACATACTTCCTTCATCATGTTTGTTGTATAACCGAAACATGGCTCAAACCGACTATACCTAGCTCCCTCGTTTGTCCTCCCAATTTTTCGATCATTAGAAAGGATAGAACAAACTGTGGAGGAGGAGGTGTCGCGATCTTATGCAGGAATGATTGG